TCTTGGCCCAAACCCTATCCTTCAAAAATTTGAAAGCCCCATTCTTGCTTGTTCCCACATCCGAAGGCATTCCCAAGTATCTCTCTGTCAAGGATTTATTCTCAATATTTTCTTCTCTGAGATTTGGGGCATCCCTTGCTGAAGAAAACGGAGGACTTTGCAAGATTTATTCTCTGGCCCGATGCATTACAATAGCTTTCCATCAAAGAAGACAACTCATTTGCTCCAGTAGCACTAGCTTTTACAAACAGCAGGTTATATCATCCGCGAAGAGCAAGTGGCTAACCGGCGGAGCCTAAGGTGCTAGTGCCACTCGAATTCCGTTCAACTGGGATGATTCATCTTGGTTTTTTAAGAGGCACGAAAGGCCTCCGCTGCAAGTAAAAATAGGTATGGAGAAGTTGGGTCTCCCTGATGGATTCCCCCTGAAGGAATAAAACCATCAAGCTTATATCCATTAAACATAACTGAAAACTTAACCGAAGATACCATTCTCATCACTGTATCAACCCACGCCTGTGCAAAACCCATCTTGGTCATGATTGCTCGAAGATAATTCCATTCCACACGGTCATAGGCCTTCATCATGTCCAATTTTACTGCACAAAATCGGTTTCTCTTGGCTTTGTTCTTCTTCATAAAATGTAAGCATTTGTAAGTAGTGATAATATTATCAGTAATGAGCCGACCTGGAACAAAAGCATATTGTTCCTTAGAGATTATATCAGGCGAGATTTGCTTCAACCTGTTGGACAACACCTTTGAAGCAATTTTATAAAGCACATTGCACAAGCTTATGGGACGAAACTGGGTTAGGTTGTGGGATCTTTAACCTTGGGTATTAGCACAAGAAGCGTTTCGTTGATTACCTCGGGGCTCTCCTCCCCAAGCAGGATCCTCAAAACCACATTCGTTACTTCAGTACCACAAAGCTCCCAATGTCTCTGGAAGCAGTGTGCCGGGTATCCATCCGGCCCCGGTACTTTTGTGGGATACATCTGGAAAATAGCATTTTTGACCTCCATGGGAGTGTACGGAGCAGCCAACCCATCATTCATCTCTTTCGTGACGCTGACCGGAACTGAGTCAAGCACCACTTCCATGCCCGATGTACCTTCCAACGTAAACAAGTTTTTATAGAACTCGTTAGTTAATTGTGCCATCTCAGCCAGATCCTGGGTTAGAGAACCATCAACCCGCTGCAAAGATTTTATCCGTTCTTTCTTCGGTGCATGCTAGCACGCCTCTGGAAGAATTTCATGTCGCGGTCCCCGTCTGATAGCCAATCAATGCACGAACGCTGCCGCTGTTTTATCTCCTCCATATGATATAGCTCCACCAAGCGATCCGTAACTTTTATCTCTGCATGTGAGGGAGATAAGCGCCGGGGGTCATTCTGCAAAGTTGCCAACTCCTTCTTTAGTTTTTTAATTTCCTTTGAAATGTTTCCAATGGTAGCCGCACTCTACTATTGCAAAGATGTTGATAGGTCGCCCAGCTTTGTGCTTAGATTTGCCACAGTTTGTCCCTGGGGTGCCGCTGTCCACATGCCCTCGAGGGAATCGCAAATTCCTCATGCTTCTCCCAGTACAACTTGTACTTAAACAACTTCCTCTGGACAGACACTGGCTCACTGGGCTCCAGAGCTAGTCTGAGCGGGCAATGATCTGAAGCGGCGCCCGTCTCGTGAATCAGACTTGCCTGGGGATACAAAGTTGTCCACTCCGAGCTTGCCATTGCACGGTCAAGCCGGACACGGCAGTAACCCCCGCCTGACGTCTTCTTCTCAAAAGTCCATGCTTTACCATGATAGCCTAGGTCTTGAAGGACACACACGTCCATGGCTTCCCGAAATCCTTCTATCTGAGAGGACCTGCATTAACCAGCCCCAGAGTGTTCATGTTGGTGTAGAACTTCATTGAAGTCCCCAATACACAGCCACGACAAGTTGCTTTCAGCCGTCAAGGATTTTAGCAGATCCCAGGTTTTGTATCTTTCTCCCACTTGCGCCTCGCCATACACACAAGTAAGCCTCCACTCTGAAAATTTTGGGATAGAAACAGTAGCATCTACATGACATTCGGAGTAACCAAAAACATCTAGCTTTATTCCATCATTCCAAAAAACACCAATGCCACCACTACGACCCGAACTACCAACATCATAAGAGTGATTAAAACCTAAAGTACCAGCAAGATTTTTGACACATGCTTTAGATATATGAGTTTCTACTATGCATAGCACTGTCGAGGCAAATTGCTTCGCTAGGTCACGAAGCTCACGAATTGTCGCAGCTTTGCCCACACCACAACAATTCCAACATAGAAGATTCATTGTGCGTGCCGATCCTCCCCTCGGGAGGTCGCCGATTTTGCTTCATTTTGTTTTTCACTTGCTGGTACTTTCTTCCCATTATTCTTCTCAGCACTTGTCCTGATTATCTTCGGATCCTGCTTTGACGATGGGCTGGCAGGGATCGCTGGAGGGGGCAGAGCTAGTATGGTCTCTTTTGCCGACATTACCGTCCCGGCACCGTCCATTGGTTCAAACAGTTCAGAGGCGCGCTTCCTATTCGCATCTTCAGCATGCTGCATCTCCAGGTCCATATCCTGCTCCAGGTCCTCCTTATGATATGTTCCAGGCTGGTTGCTTGCTCGGCCTCGGGAGCGTCCACCCCGGCGACCACCGCGCCTTCCACGGCCACGGCCGCCACCCGGTCCTTGACCCACACGCATGTTCCAGGTTGCCCTGAGTTCCTTGAAAAACAGAGCTGATGGGGCATGCATTCCATTGCCATGTTCCTTGAAGATGTGGCCCAGATGTCCACACACCGCACACCAATCCGGGAGCCTTTCATACTTCACCAAAAAAAATCTGCCTTTCTCCTCCCTGGATCATTGAGACCACGTTCTTCAGGGGCTTGTAAACATTGATCTTCACCCAGACCCGGTAAAAATTCCCGGCAAAATCTTGAGTGATTGGTTCCGCAAACAAGACTTCTCCCACCTTTGCTGCTAGGGCATCGACCAGGTGTGCATACTTATCCGGAACGTCATGAATTTGGATCCATATATCAATCGTGTCGAGCTTCAGCATGGTAGGTTTCGTGACACCATCATAGGGAACCAGCACCACCGCGTTGCCCCTAAAATTCCAGGGGCCCTCTTGCATGCTCGTTCCCAGTCGCCTAGGCAAAACAACTGAAGAGAATACATATTTTCCTCCAGCGGGCGGAACTTGACGTCATGAGCTAGATCCCATGCAGCCCGCATATTCTTGAAAAACCAGGTTTAGCTATAGGGTTTATCGATGTGAACCCTAGCCAGCGCCACCCACCTTGTAGCATCTGGCGGCGCATCCTTCTCGTCGTACACCACATCATCAAGATCCTCCTCCCGCAGGCCAAGCTTGGCCATCATCCTTTCCACTTCAGTAGCAGTGTTCGGTCCAGAAGACCCAGATCCATTTGCCGCCATAATCAAAAAAACTTGCCCGAGGAAACTCACATCGGGCGATAAGCTTGGGGGAACCCTATCTCTCTTTTCTTCCCAGGACACCGATCAAGGCCTCGCGGCCCTAATCCTTTAGTCAAGGGAGATCGGAGCAAGGAAGGTCAAGAAACTCGGCGGCAGCGGCAGTAAAATCGGAGCCCACGTCCACAACGAAAACAACTGGCCCATCTTCCTTTAGCAAGCCCAGCCCAGCCCAGCCCAACTCGCGTATAGACTTGAGCCCAAAATGAGCCCATCGGGTGACAGTAAAATCGCTCACCTTTTTCTTCCAGGAGGGGAGGTCTGGACTCTGGACTGAGCAGTTGGTTCGCTGCTGCAAATTGTGCCGCTCACGCCGACGAGCATCTCTTCCCACCGTCGCCTCAATCTCCGGTGCCAGGTTCGGATCGATCGACCCCTCCCCCCCTTCTCCTCCCCGTTTCAGTCTGCGCGCCGGCGCCTGCTTCTCGTAGATCTGGGGCGGCCTTAGCTCGCGGGTTCGTGCCTACGCCGTTCCTGTTTACCCACTCGCATGGCGGCGGCGGCGTAGATCTGCTCGCCCGAGGCGCTCCCGTGCCACGATTCGGGAGTGGTTTTTGATTCTAGGGTCGAGCCGAGCAAATGTTTGAGCGACGCTGGGAGCAGCTCCAGTGCCACTGTTCAAGATTTGTCGCTGATTTAGTTTCTTATAAGAACTCGTTTGCTGATCTAGGTGGCACGTGCTTAGCCATCCATGCTTCTAACTCGCGCACGTTAGATTTAGCCTTTGCATTTGGCATGCCTGATTGGCGCAATGCAAGATGCGCCGTTACCGCTGATGGATGCCGCCTTTTCCTAGTTTCCCGAGGTTTTGTTTGCGAGCATCTCCCTGGGGCATGGGCATTTTATTTCTATTCTCTCTGGCAGAAATTCCCCAAATATGTTTGTTGTCTGTTTGCTTATTATTGTTTCATGATGGATGGTAAAAGAACGACTATGAATTGGTTTATTATTTCATCTAGCACCTTTGGCCAGACATTCTTTCATTCTGAAGTAGGCGTATGTTATGCTGCTTACAGAGAAATATCAAGTTATCAACTAGCCATATTGTAGTCTTGTGATCAATGGAAGCCCCTCAGCAAGCTCCGTGATTGGCCTGCCAACGGCACCTTGATGAGGAGCTACAAGGACCTTGCTGCCAGTCTTATTTTACTCTCTGATCCTCCTTGAGGCTTAGCTTATCCTGGGCGTGTTTTGTGCTCTTGCCCCAGCATGGCCTTTTTTTTTAACCCTGTTTGAACCTTTCTTTGCTGTTGAACTTCCGTGCTCGGATGAACTTGGTTGTGTGTGGTCGTTTGCTTTATTTATCGATAAAGCGGGGCAATAGCCTTTTTTGGTAGTCTTATGTTTATTTGGTGCTGATGTATTTGCTTGGCATATGACCTATAGGCTATAGTTAGAGGAACTGACTGTTGATGTTCTTCCTTTTGGTTTCAGGTGTTAGGCAGAGGTTGCTGGGAACTGGCAATCATGGCCAAGGGCTGGATATTCTCTGCTTTGCTGGTGCTGTTTCTTGTGATGGCTCCTGCTTGTGAGGCGTTCTACTTGCCAGGTAGTTACATGCACACGTACCGGCAAGGCGAGGAGATAGGAGCAAAGGTGAACTCGCTCACATCCATCGAGACAGAACTGCCTTTCAGCTACTACAGCCTCCCATACTGCCGTCCTAAGGGTGGGATAAAGAAGAGTGCTGAAAATCTGGGGGAGCTCCTTATGGGTGACCAGATTGATAATTCCCCTTACCGTTTCCATGTCAATGTCAATGAATCGCTCTACCTGTGTACCACGAGCCCACTTGATGAGGATGATGTGAAGCTCCTCAAGCAGCGAAGCCAGGACCTCTACCAGGTGAACATGATTCTTGACAATCTTCCTGTGAGGAGGTTTACCGAGCAGAATGGAATGACCATTCAGTGGACAGGCTATCCAGTTGGTTATACCCCAGAAGGTACCTCCGATGTCTACATCATTAATCACCTGAAATTTAAAGTCTTGGTCCATAAGTATGAAGGAGGTAAAGTGAGGGTCGTTGGAACTGGGGAAGGAATGGAAGTGATCTCAGAATCTGACACTGACACTGATGCCAAGTCTGGGTATGAGATAGTGGGATTTGAGGTTGTCCCATGCAGTGTGAAGCGTGATCCTGAAGCCATGTCGAAGCTTACGATGTATGAAAAGGTTGATTCTGTGAGCTGCCCTGTGGAGTTGGAGAAATCTCAAATGATCAGGGAGAAGGAGCAGATTACTTTTACATACGAGGTTGAATTTGTAAACAGTGACATCAGATGGCCATCACGGTGGGATGCATACCTGAAGATGGAGGGTGCGAAAATTCACTGGTTCTCAATTATGAACTCGTTGATGGTAATACTGTTCTTGGCTGGCATTGTTTTTGTCATATTATTGCGGACAGTGAGGAGGGACTTGACTAGATATGAGGAGCTGGATAAGGAGTCCCAAGCTCAGATGAATGAGGAGCTCTCTGGGTGGAAGCTGGTTGTTGGAGATGTTTTCAGAGAGCCAACCTCATCAAAGCTGTTCTGTGTTATGATTGGTGACGGAGTACAAATTCTGGGTATGGCGATTGTCACCATTTTCTTTGCCACCTTTGGATTCATGTCTCCTGCGTCTAGAGGAATGCTGTTAACAGGGATGATATTCCTTTATATGCTACTTGGAATTTTGGCCGGATATGCTGCTGTCAGGCTCTGGAGGACTGTAAAAGGAACTTCTGAGGGATGGAGGTCTGTCTCCTGGTCAACTGCCTGTTTCTTCCCTGGCATTGTCTTCATTGTCCTCACTGTATTGAACTTCATGCTGTGGTCAAGAAATAGTACTGGAGCCCTTCCCATTTCACTTTTCTTCACTCTTCTCTCCTTGTGGTTCTGTATCTCGGTGCCACTTACCCTTCTAGGTGGTTTCCTTGGAACAAGGGCTGAGCCAATTGAATTCCCCGTTCGAACCAATCAAATACCAAGAGAAATCCCTTCAAAAAATTACTCATGGCTCCTCATATTTGGTGCTGGAACTCTACCTTTCGGAACACTCTTCATTGAGCTCTTCTTCATTCTCTCAAGCATCTGGCTCGGAAGGTTCTATTATGTGTTTGGGTTCCTCCTTGTTGTGCTCCTTCTGCTGGTTGTGGTATGCGCTGAGGTATCTGTTGTTCTTACGTACATGCACCTCTGTGCTGAGGACTGGAGGTGGTGGTGGAAAGCTTTCTTTGCCTCTGGAGCAGTGGCATTTTATGTGTTCCTCTACTCTATCAACTACTTGGTGTTTGATCTGAGAAGCTTGAGTGGGCCAGTTTCTGCTACGCTCTATATTGGATACGCTTTCATTGTCTCTCTTGCCATCATGCTAGCTACTGGGACTGTTGGGTTCCTGACATCATTCTCTTTTGTTCACTACCTTTTCTCGAATGTCAAGATTGATTGAAGGCAAATCTCCAAGGAGTCAAGGACTGTACACAGTGCTTTGATCTGGCATCGGAAGGCCATCTACACGGTTGTGCCATTCTTAATGTAGCATATTACTGAGAGTCTTGATACTGTTGTACTACGATACATCTGGTATGTTCTAGTAGATGTGATTTTTAAGCTTGTAATATTTTCTCTTCTCTTTGCTGCAACATTCGTTGATGCAAATGTTCTCTTAAAATCATGAATTTTGCCACGCCCTTGCACCTTGTGCAATTGTTTGTTCCATTTTTCTCTTTTCCAAGATAGGTTTGTCACGGGAGATTTATTTTTATCTATGCAGTGTAATAGATCTGTGCAAAATTGTGTTTCTCATGGACGCTAGTTTTTGCTTTTCTGACTTGGGTATTTGCCCAAGATTCTGTATGTCATAATCCAGCCTTTCCTAATTAGGCATGGTAATTATAGGTGAAGTGCTTTATGTTATTATTCCTTTTTGACTGTCAGTGGCATGTTCTAGTTACTCCAGCTTTCATTAGGTTGCTCCTCTGTTCAGTCACTTTACTTGAGTTAAAGTTGATTCTGAAATCTGTATGACAGTTCCATTATTCTGAAGTTCACTTTACTTGATGCTTTCGCATATCGCACCATAATTTCGACGGTTCTATGCCCATATCGCCCCGTTTCTTTTCCCCCCTTTTCGCTGATGCATAATGTTCAAAGGTAGGTAGTGTTGGAGTATGATGTCCGACCCTCTCCCATAGTTCGGACTTTTGGATGAGTTGGCTGGAGCATGAATTCAATAGTTAGTCCTGAGAACACTACTCGGTACCGCATTAATGAAATCTGATGTGCAGATATTGCCTAGTTATTTGCTTGAATCTAGAGCATCTCAGTGCAATCTTTGTTGGCTACTAGTAATAATAGTCTAATAGGTAGTGGTACTAGTAAACCATTTGTGCTTACCCGTGACAGTGAAATGGCGGATGTATCTCTTTTTGCCTTGCAAAAAGAACATGGGAGGCGCTGTCAGAAAAACGTCTTACATTTTGAGATAGAGGGATTATACGGTTGGGTGGCTCCAAGGAGATTTGGCACACACCATCCAGGATCCTTGGTCACTCGCCCTTCACCATTTTCTGTACCTATAGCAGTTGAAACTTCAGTTCACCTGGAAGGTGATTCGCTTTATTCAGTGACCGGTGGTGTTGATCTAGTGAACTTTTGCCTTGTTTTCGTCTGGAAGGAGGTCGCATTCGTTGCTGTTTGTGTTGCTGCTGCACCGAATTGTTTCCCCCTTTGACGTTGTGCTGTTCCTCTCAGTCACACCCATCCGAACAAACTGAACCAAACTGCACCAGAAACCTGACGCCGATGCGTGCAGCTATAATTCAGTTTCACACGTCCATCATCTTCCACCACAGTCCTGCTCCTCCTGTACTTGGTTACGCTCCCCTGCAACTTCAGAGTTACATCGATCAGAGTAAGGGCCATATGTACTGAAATCCTAGTAGTACATGACAAAGTTTGGCATGTGGATGCTCCTTGCCTTCGATGCATACTGTTGCCGGTCTTTCTGACAAGCGTGACTAGGTAGTGTTCTCTCCAAGGAACGTGCTCCTTTTTCTTCCTGAAGGCAACGTGTCCCTTTTCGTGCGTCGTGCTCATGCAGCGCAGCTCACCCTCCTCCCATTTTTCTAAAAAATAATGGAAACTTCGTTTTCATCGGTGGATCGTCGTCGGTTCGTTCGTCGGTTGATGTCGCGGCTTCTTCACACCAACCCGGCCCCTTTTCTTTTCTCCACCAGACATGTACGCACGAGCACGACGATGATTGTCTGCTAAGAAATGCAGAGGATTTATTGATGAGCGGCAGGTGGCCGATGCGAGGAAAGTAGCACCCCGCGCGAGGTTGGGACGTGCTACTGGGATCGATCGTGAACCGTTTTTAAATTTGTACTTGTATATTTTTGGCTCGGGAAAGGGGGTGTGAGTGGCAAGCAAGCAAGCCATCACGACGGCAGGTTGGAGATCGCATCTGGGCGGCTGGACGGGCCATCGGAGGAGCGCATCTGAGTTCTATACACAGGTTTTCGGTCGTTCATCGTCGATCCCACATTTCTGGTGGGTGGTTGTCGTCTTGTTTATACTACGTAAAAACATTTTACAAACGGGGGGATCTGTCACTCAACGTCTCACCGAAAAATCATGACTGCAAAGGTCCTAGAGCCATGCAGGTACGCCCTCCGTAAAGAAATATAACTAACAACGTTTAGATCACTAGAGTAGTACGGATTAGACAAACGGAGTGCCAAAATCTCAGATGCACCGGTCCATTGGAGTGGCAAATCCTCTCGCCTTCGTGCTACCAGTTGCGGCATTACTTTTTTTTTCTTCTGGAACGAAAATGCCACCTGTATTTTCGAAAAGAAAAAGGCGCCGCGATTGCCTGCGTGCTGCCGAGTGGGAAGCTGCAGTATTCCTTCCGAATCTACTACCGTGAAGGAGTATTCGTCCGCGTTGGCGTTTTGCAGCAGCTTCCAAGTTCCAAGAGTCAGACCTCAGAACCGTACCAACTTTTTTTTTAAAAAAAAGAGAGAGGAGAGAGCCGTACCAACCCCACCGACGGTCCAGATCTGAAACGGGAGACCGATACGGGGCAGTAGCAGCACAACCGTATTGTAGTACTACTACGCGAGCACATGCCGCGAAGCCCCGTTTTGGCGTCTTGGCTGGCCCACATGTCACTCTCCCGGACCCGGTTAGGCTCCCCGCCAACCTGCCCACCCCACCCGGGTCAAAGACCAAATCGCCACACGCACTACGTGTAGACTGTAGACCAAACCAGCGGCGGGGCCCACATCGAGCCGAACCCCGGGCCCCGGCCTGGAGCACCAAACCGGTCCCCGACCTACCCACCCACCTAGCAAACGCTCAAATCTCCCCCAAAAATACAAATTTCCCCCAAATTCAAACGGCACGGGGCGGTGAATTCGAGAGGAAACAAATCAAAAACCGCGCCGAGTGGCGCGTGCGTGTGTGTGCTGGAAGGCGGGAGCAGTATAAGATTGGCGGGTTCGTGCCGCGTCTGGGCCTCGCCTCGATTTTGCCGGCCGAGCGTTTACTTGCCTGCTGTATTCTTCTCTTTCTCCTCCTCGATCTCGAGGGCGGACGGAGAGATAGAGAGAGGCCTGGTCTCGGGGTCGGGAGCGCCCATGTTTTGACCTCGCCCGGGTCGCCTCCTCGTCCTCGCCCCGCGATCCAGATCTGAGGTGAGCGCCCCTTCCCTTCTCCCCACGCTCCTCCCCCATTTCCTTCTTCCTCCCTGCGTAATTCGCCCTTCCTGGCGGCCGGATCTGGATCCTCTGCCTCCGGCGCTGGGTCACAGTAGAGCGGGATCCGTGTCGCCTCGTCGGGCTGTCTGTCTGTCGGTATAGTTCGTTTTTCTTCACCTGTTATTGTAGTCGATCTCAGGGGATTGCGATCATGCTCGTTCTCCCCGTCCCCGGTGGTTTTTGCTCTCAGTTTCAGAGGATCGGTCGATTACGTGTTTCTGTTGCTTGCTAGGCCTGCAGCTCCGGGTGTAGGAGTATCGGTCCTTACTTGGTAGTAGATCATCTGTGTTCGATTTCGTGCATGCACGTTGGCGATTAATAGCTGAGTAGTACTCTGTTCGATGCAAATGCGTCCGTCTTTAATTATGCGTTTAGTTGCTATCTCCTCATGATTATATCAACGAGACAAAAAAAAAAGGATGACGATTCTTTGAAATGAATTGATCCGTGTTCCGTTTCTACAATTTGCTTCAGGTGGAATTCTTGGTTGGTCGATCAGAGGAATTTGGTGTCGCCATGCTGCCCAAGATGCCGTCAGGCCGGTGGATCTCGGCTTCCCTGCTGGTCATTCTCCTGAGCCTGCACCCCATCGCCGACGCCTTCTACCTCCCGGGCACCTTCATGCACACCTACGAAGCCGGTGAAACGATCGCGGCCAAGGTCAACTCGCTCACGTCCATCGAGACCGAGCTGCCCTTCAGCTACTACAGCCTCCCCTACTGCAAGCCCCAGGAAGGTGTCAAGAAGAGCGCCGAGAACCTCGGCGAGGTCCTCATGGGTGACCAGATCGACAACTCGCCGTACCACTTCCACGTCAACGTCAACGAGTCGCTGTACCTTTGCACCACCGACCCGCTCACCAAGGAGCAGGCCGAGCTGTTGAAGAACCGGGCGCGGAATCTGTACCAGGTCAACATGATCCTCGACAACCTGCCGGTCATGAGGTTCACCGAGCAGAATGGGATGACGATCCAGTGGACTGGGTACCCGGTCGGGTACAACCCCATGGGGAGCAGCGAGGATTATATCATTAACCATCTCAAGTTCAGGGTTTTGGTTCATCCGTACCAGGCGCAAGGTGATGTTGTGGTCACGAGTGAGGATGGTGTTGCTATGGTTGAGTCTGACCGCAAGAGCGGCTTCCAGATCGTTGGTTTTGAGGTTGTTCCTTGCAGTGTCAAGCGTGATCCTGCAGCCATGGCCAAGCTCAAGATGTATGAGAAGGTTGAGTCTGTGAACTGCCCGTTGGAGCTCGAGAAATCTCAGGTGATCCATGAGAAGGAGCAGATTACATTTACCTATGAGGTTGAGTATGTCAAGAGCAACATCAAGTGGCCGTCAAGGTGGGATGCCTACTTGAAGATGGATGGTGCTAAGGTGCACTGGTTCTCAATCATGAACTCCATGATGGTTGTCTTCTTCTTGGCCGGTATTGTGTTTGTCATATTCTTGAGGACTGTCCGAAGGGATCTGACACGTTATGAGGAGATGGACAAAGAAGCCCAAGCTCAGATGAATGAGGAGCTTTCAGGATGGAAGCTTGTTGTTGGTGATGTCTTCAGGGAGCCCTGCTGCTCAAAGCTGCTGTGTGTTATGGTCGCTGATGGTATCCAGATCACCGGCATGGCAGTCGTTACAATCGTGTTTGCTGCTCTGGGTTTTCTCTCACCTGCTTCCAGGGGAATGCTCTTGACCGGAATGATCATCCTCTACCTCTTCCTTGGAATTATTGCTGGATATGTTGGTGTCCGTCTCTGGAGGACCATCAAACAATCCACAGAAGGGTGGAAATCTGTCGCTTGGCTGACCTCCTGCTTCTTCCCTGGCATTGTTTTCATCATCTTGACGGTGCTGAACTCCATCCTGTGGGGTAAGAAGAGCACTGGAGCTTTACCCATTTCACTCTTCTTCACCCTCTTGGCCCTGTGGTTCTGCATCTCCGTGCCACTCACTCTTATTGGAGGCTTGCTAGGCACACGGGCTGCAAGCATAGAATTCCCTGTCCGTACCAACCAAATCCCAAGAGAGATCCCTGAGCGCAAGTTCCCTTCATGGCTCCTTGTGCTCGGTGCAGGAACATTGCCTTTCGGCACCCTTTTCATTGAGCTCTTCTTCATCCTTTCTAGCATCTGGCTGGGGAGGTTCTACTATGTATTCGGCTTCCTGTTCATCGTCCTCTTCCTGTTGGTCATAGTCTGTGGTGAGGTTTCTTTGGTCCTGACCTACATGCACCTCTGTGTTGAGGACTGGAAGTGGTGGTGGAAAGCCTTCTTTGCCTCTGGCTCCGTTGCGTTCTTCGTCTTCCTATACTCCATCAACTACCTGGTGTTCGACCTCAGGAGCCTGAGCGGGCCAGTCTCCGCGACACTCTACCTGGGCTACTCCTTGATCATGGCATTTGCCATCATGCTGTCAACTGGCGCCATCGGCTTCTTGCTCTCGTTCTACTTCGTCCACTACCTCTTCTCGTCCGTCAAGATTGACTAGAAGCCCCCTGCAGTAGTGTCACCTGATTCTGGTGATAGTTATCCCTTAGAAACACAAACACAAATAACTGTCAAACTGAAAAATGGAAGCATATGTCGATTTACATGGCTTAGCACAGTTACTCCAGCTTATGTTTACTTCTTAGACATGTTTGTAATGCTTCGGCTATGTTCTCTTGCCTTTTTTTGTAATAGTATTATGTTTTGCTTGCTCTGGGCGTTTGTGAGCAGCAAATTTTGTTATCGGGGACTTGTTGAAATATGAAATGGGCAAATTTGATTACAGCTCCTTGTGATCTGTTTTGACGTTTTAGTGCTGGTGAGGTGTGTTGCTACACATGTTCGAAAAATTTGTAACCAGATTGTCCTGTTGTAGGCTGGGCAGTTTTACACTGCCACCTGGGTATGCTGTTGATCATTGGCTTCTCGTGTTCTTTTCTTTTTTTGAAACTGGGAGCTTCTCGTGTTCTGAAGTTTGAATCAGTTCTACTTTGTCTCGGTGATTGTTTCTTGTCTGTGTTATGGTATCCACATGTTTGTTTTAGCGAAACCACGATCTTTGTGGTTGTTGGTGTGTACAAGTGTACTATCTTTGCGGTGCCACTTAGGATAATTGTAGCTTTAAAGTTGAATGCAACGAACATATTGTAATATGATTGCTCATGAATTGGTTTAGTTTGCAAGATGAAATGTCCACTCTGCGGTTTGGCGGCTAGCTTCTCTGATTTGCATTGAGGATCTCCTCATATTTGATTGTAATCATATCCTTAACCAATAAAGCTCCCATTTATCAGGAAAAAGAACTTAGTACTTAAACTTAGTACTTAGTACAATTTTGTATTAAAGTTGGTACAAAGTTGATGCACTTATTTTGGGCCAGAGGAGTACAAGTTACTGGGACTGGCTGTGAGATCTGACGGCTTGCCATTGTCAAAGTTTAGCTTTGAACCAAACAAACACCTAAACGCAAAATGTATGAACTAATTGCCGAGAACCAAAGAGTTCCCATGTTGTATTGTTCGAACGCCTACGTTTTGTGCAGGAAAAATGATTGATCGGTACAGGTAGACCTAGCACTATATTTGGACACCTGCACGTTGCCCACGAGTGTCGCACGACGCAACCACCATTTTATTTTAAAATTAGAAATACCAGTTCCTCTTGTTTCTTCAGTAGATAGAATCCAGTACTAGATCGGTTTTTCATATGCTCACAAAGCCACCAGTGCATGGAACGGTAGAGGACATAACTGACAAATGAGGGTCATATATGTCACAAATGCCTTTGTGTCTGCTTGCGGTCCACAAAATGATGTGGTGGACTCTGGATCTGGAGTTTGGGAGAGCCGGCGCATAGAAGAATATCATCGTTGAGCGCAAGACAGCGCACGGTATGAGGGCACCTTGCTCGTACCGTCCGGCGTAACACACGCGCAGCACTCTCTCGACCGGCGCGTTGACACCAATGAAAGCTCGCGTCTGTTCTGGCCGGGTATGAATGTGGTACTGCCTCTCTCGAGCGATGCTGACCGTTTCGGACGGGAAGCAAGCGCGAGCGAGTGAGGGTTTTTGATGGGTCAGAGTAGTCAGATGCGGACGTGGCAGCGGTTCAGACGGCAGCAAAGCCCCTATAGTTTGCCTTAGATTTACGAAAAAAAGCACGTCCGGATCACTCGGTGGATCAATACAGACTCGCCATGGATGGCACAACACGTTTGGACCGCGTAATCCAGATGTATGCGAACAGTTTGAAGGTCGGGCGTTGGAGATGCCCTTAGGCATAACGTGTAGGCGTAGCCCATAACATCATTTACAATCGGACTTCTCAAACCTGCCTCATACGCCTTAGTAGGCCGTCCGATCACAAATTTTTGATTCAGATGGGCCTCTCAAACGGCCCTCAAACACTTGGGCTGACCGGCACTCCTCATATCCAGCCTAAATATTGGGCAGATATAGGGGCGCCCGGGCGCGCCCGGACACGCCCGCCACGTCGGTCTGACTAAGGGGCCCACACGGAAACGCCCCGAAACCCGGCGGTCCGATGGACGTCGCGTCCGTCGCCGCGGTGTGAACGCCGCGTGGCGCCGCTCCGGCTCGCTGCCCAAGAAGAAATCCGGCTATTTAAATTGATCGACCTCCCGCAACCCTAACCCACCCCTCCCCTCTCTCCGCGCTGCCAGTCCGAGTCCATCCACCACCTCCCTCTCCCGCTCCGGCACTCCGCCATGGTCCGGAGCAAGATCACCTACTATGCCATGCTGACGTCGGAGCGACGCTACAAGATCCAACAGTAGATCCGAGCGAGGGAAGCTGCACGCGCCGCCCGCATCGCTGCTGGCTGCCTCCAGACTCGCCGGAGTCGGAGAAGGAGGAGGAGCAGCCGAGGAAAGAGGAGGAGGAGGAGATGGCTCCGCCGGAGGTGGAGGAGGCGGAGGAGTCGGACCAGCAGGTGCCGCCCTTCAACATGGAGCAGGCGGAGGCGGAGTTCGCCGTCGCCTAGTTCGGCGAGATGGCGGAGCAACAGGCCATCCTGGAGTCCATCCAGGATGAGGCCTATGTGGAGGCCAACCGAGCATTGCTCCGGTGGGAGCAGGCAGAGTTTGACGTGCTCTTCGCCGAGTTTGATGCGGAGATAGAGGCGGAGGAGGCCGAAGCGGAGCAGCCGGAGCCAGTGGCGGAGCCAGAAATTCAATATAGAGGAGGCCAAACATGTTATGTAATGTTAGACAGGGCCAAATCATCTAAATCTTGCTAATTTTGTTTAAGAAATGAAGGATTAAGAGCACATATAGTGGTATTTATGAGAGCATAGGGGGCCTTGGCCCCTGCTAGCACCCCCTGCCTCCCGCCACTGGCCGGAGCTGCAGCTGCCGTCCATGTTGCCGGAGCCGGGCATGGAGATCGTTGTGATCTCCGACGAGGAGTAGCTAGGATTGACGTAGTATGTAGGTTATTTTTCGTTTTGCATGTGTTTGTATGGATATAAGAATCAAGTATGAGATGTCCGGATGCAATTGCATGTGTTCCGGATGCAATAAGTGAAATTTAAGAGCATCTCCAGCCGCGCCCCCAACAGGCCCTCCCCAGGCGTTTTTGCCGCGCCGACGCCGAAAAAATGGCCCAGTCGCGCCCCTAGGACACCGAAAAACGCCGGCTCGGGCCTTTTTTCCGCCCGACGGTCACAGGCCGAACCCGACGCACTGGGGGCAGTTGGGGGCTCCAGCGCAAGGGAAAAGTGCGGCTGGCCCACGCCGTCAGGGGAAAAGTCAAAGTTTTCTTCCCCGACTCGCCTCCCACCCCCGCGCCCTCGGCCGCCAGTAGATTTATCCCGGCGCCGCCCGCCGCCTTTCACCACTAGATAGCCATTCCACGCCGGAAAAATAGCAGAGCTTCGCCGCGGCAGCCCCTCCAACAGCAGCTGGGCGTTTTCGGCCGCCATTTTCGGCCGCGAAGGGGCAGTTTAGCGGCGGGGACACGCCCACCGGGCGCAAGGTGTTCGGTGATTTGCCTGCCTCGGCGATGGACTCGGATGACGAGGAAGCGCTCACCGCGCTGCTGGAGGAGGAAGCCGAGGCCGACATCCAGGAAGAAGAGCATCTCATGGTGCTCGCCGCCCTCACCCAGCTGCTGGCGAGCAATGAAAAGCCGCGGCGAGGTGGCTCGGCGACGGGGCGGGTGAAAGCAAAGAACCGGCATCGTCTCGAAGGCTACTGCATGCTCTACTCCGACTACTTCGCCGATGCTCCACTTCACGGCGAGAAAACATTTCGACGCCGTTATCGGATGAGCCGAAAACTCTTCCTCAGGATTGTGAATTCCATCCGGGAGTTCGACAACTACTTCAAGTGCAAGATGGATTGCACCGGCGCCCTTGGATTCACCTCCATCCAGAAGTGCATGACAGCGAGGAGGATGCTTGCATACGGAGCTCCCGTTGATTCACTCGACAACTATGGGCGCATGGCTGAGTCCACCAGCATAGAGTGTTTCTACAAGTTCTGTCGGGCAGTGGTGGCAGTGTTTGGACCGCAATACTTGAGAACACCCAATGCGGAAGACATTGCTCGGATCCTAGAACAGAATGCAGCAAGAAGATTTCTTGGGATGCTTGGAAGCATCGACTGCATGCATTGAAAATGGAAGAATTGCCCATTTGCTTGGCAGAGGATGTACAAAGGCGCCAAAGGCGGTTGTAGTGTGGTACTTGAGGCGGTGGCCACACAGTACCTCTGGATTTGGCACTCCTTCTTTGGTATGCCAGGAACTCACAATGACATCAATGTGTTGCAGTGCTCTCCTGTCTTTGCCAAGCTTGTTGAAGGTCATTCTCCTCCGGTGAACTTCGAGATCAATGGGTGGCACTACAACAAGGGGTACTATCTAGCTGATGGCATATATCCGAGATGGTCGACATTTGTGAAGACGATCTCAAACCCTGTGCCAGGAGGCAAGAACGCCTGGTTTGCGAAGGTTCAGGAGGCTTGCAGGAAGGATGTCGAGCGGGCATTTGGTGTGCTCCAATCTCGATTTACTGTTGTTCGGTACCCCGCTCAGACCTGGTCGAAAGATCAAATATGGGAGATTATGACTTGCCGTGTCATCTTGCACAACATGATCATCGAGAGCGAGCAAGAAGACCCAGTGTTTGACACTGAACCATACTACAGGCAGGGTCCTCTATCCGAAGTTGATCACCAGCTACCGGCAACCTGGACTGCCTATCTCAGTATGCGTCAGGAGATCCGAGACCCACATGTGCATCATCAACTGCAGCAAGATCTGATAGAGCATCTATGGAGGCTCAAGGGCGACGTCGGGTGCGACGTGTGATGAAATATGAGTTTTTATTTGTTGAAGTATATAATTTGTATTGAACTATTTGTTGTTGTACTATTTTGTTGAAGTATTTGATATTTCTGTGATGAAATATGTGATAAAAAAATTTATGTGCATAATTGGACGCCGAAGAACGGCGAACCACGTCGAAATGGGGCTGAAA